TTTTGCTGAACGTTGTATGTATTTTTTTTGTGTTTTTTTTTGTTTTTTTTTGTTTTTTTTGTTTTCCGTGATGTCCTACCGGTTGTCTGAGGCTCGGGAACGACCGGGCTACCGGTAGCCTGAGCCACGGGCCTTAAGACCCGCTAGGTACTGGTGGTTTAAAAGTGGTATACAACTTGATGGAGGGATTAGGCTGGAAGGCGAAGGGACCCTGGACCCGGTTTCCACTATGAGCTGAAGCTGGGTAATGGCCCCCGTTTTTTCCTCCGGGTTGTTCGTGAGGTTTTCCCGGCCTCGACCTTTGTAATGAAATGTTGAATTCTTTTTAAAAAAAAAACAAAAAACAAAAAAACAAACAAAGAGATGGAATACCTTTCTCGGCCCTTTGTCAGATCCGTGGTCTATTGGGCCACATCAAAAAGAAAAAACAAACAAACAAAGAGATGGGCGCAACCAGCTCGGACAGCACACCTGGTCTGGACGCTGTGCCAGATTACCCTGGTGGTCCATCGGATGGTCCTATCCTAGAGGGGTGGGCCGCCTACCCGTACCGATAGCGCCGGATCCGCTCTGGGCGCTGGCTTGGCCCTAAGGTAGCTTGTCGTATTCGCCGCCGCTCATCGCGTGGGCGAACAGGTGAGGGGGCTGAGGGCGATGGCGGGAACGAGGCCTATTGCGTGCACCGGGATACGGAATTAAACTGACTAATTGCGCCACGTGGCAATGATGATCAGGGCGGGGTCCGTTGCGGCGAGCGGGGTAGTCCGTGCTGCGTCGGCTCGCTGTGCTTTGGGTCACCGTCGCGATCCAGACGTCGCAGAATGCATCCTGAGAACACGTGCAGGTCAGCCCATCGAGGCAAGATGTGAGGGGGTGCAATCTGAGGCAAGATGTGGGGGGGTTCAATCTGAGGCAAGATGTGAGGGGGTTCAATCTGTTCGTTGTCGGGGGCGGAATCTTGCCGTCCAGGGGGGGGATGTCTCTCGAGTCGGCGATCCTCGTGTTTCCAATCGAGAACTTTCGCGCCATGGTTTCCCGCCACCGTGCCGCCCTTCTCTGTCTCTCTCCAAGGCTCGTTGTCTTGATGGCCATGGCTTCCCGCGCGATAGCCAGCCCCCTGATCTGGCCTTGGTGGTTATGGAGATCTGGGCGGCGAAGAAGGAAGACAGGTATGGAGGGGGTGGAGGTGGACAGAGGGGTGAGGTTGGCGGGAAATGGTGGATGAGCTGTCGAGGACGACCGCGCGGAAGAGCGACGCGTCGGTTGTTTCTCTCCTCTTCTGTCTGTAGAGGTGGCGGCGATGGCCTTAGCTCGCGACCGGTCGCCGCATCGGTCGTAAGGAGGGCGATTGCCAGCGGATCGGCCGCAGCGCAGGCTGGCGGGAAGGTGAATTTGGCGGGAAAGCATGTCAGCGCAGCGGAAAAGGAGGTTAACTTGGCGCGAAGGGCGGTCATTGGTCAGCACGAGGGGTGGAAGTCGGGCGCAGCAGCTGACACGTGGCGCAGGGACTTACCAATACGGAGGGAATGGTCGTGCGCATCCTCTGTCTTCACGGCCGCGCTGCCGTCGGGGGTGGCGGCGGCGGCGGCAGCGGCGGATTACATGGGAGAATTGCAATGCACCGGCGGCGGAGGCGGAGCAAGTGGTTCACCGCGGACGGTGTTTGGCAGCGGACAGAAGCGCAGGGCAGGGGAGCGGCTGCACGGCGGGCGATGCCGCTTGCGCATCCTGCGCGCCAAGCTGTGCCCCGACTGCGGCGGACTTGTCGGAGACAGCGGCGGCTGGACAACGATACGTCCTGGACGTGCGATTGAGCCGACGCGGCGGCGCGGCAGCGGAACCAAGCGCCCCGGTAGCAGCAGCAGCAGCGGCGATCCCGCCCGGCGTCGGGATCCGGACGATGGCGGGCTGCTCTGTCTGGACATCGCAGCACGCGCGAAGACGCCAAGCCATCGACGTCCAGAGACGGCCATTGCGATGAAGCGGCGGCGTCGGCGGCGGCGGGGAGAAGGTGCTGCTCTCCTAGCGTCGGTTGGGGGAGCGGGAGAAGAAGCGGGAAGAAGAGAGGAGGAGGAGGAGGAGGAAGAAGAAGAAGAAGAAGAAGAAGAAGAAGAAGAAGAAGAAGAAGAAGAAGACGAGAGAAACGATCCTAGACGAGAGGAACAAGCACTGATTGGTTACCAGTGGGAGGGTAGGAGGGTGGGTAATCACCGGTCCGTAGATCAAGGTGGGGAAGATGTGGATGATGAGAAGCTGTATAACTATAGATTGGTGATTGCTTATGATGGGACTAATTACGGCGGATGGCAAAGGATAGGTGACTACGTGTCAGTTCAGCAGACAGTAGAGGAGGCGATCTCGGCCGCGATCCGGACGACACCCAATCAGCTCCCAATACGTGTGGCGGGATCCAGTCGCACAGATAGAGGCGTTCACGCCAAAGGCCAGGTCGCACATGTGCGGCTCCCCGTTGCGTTGACTAATCTGCATCGCTTCCACTTGTCGGTCAACGGAATTCTTGCTGATGACATCCGTCTTCTTGAAGTAGGGGCGGCGCCGTGGGGATTCGATGCCCGGCGCTGTGCTCTTTCCAAGGTCTACCATTACCACGTGGTCAATCGACCCATCATGGACCCCCTCCGCTCTCGCTATGCTCTCTACGAGTACCACCTACTTGATCTCCAGGCGATGAGAGAAGCAGCCATGGATCTCGTGGGAGTGCACGACTTCTCAGCATTTGGAAATAGGGGGCGGGGGAAAGATAATTTTCGCCCTTGTCCTGTTCGGTGGTTGATGAGATTTGACATTGTAGAACAGGTGAGAGAGGAAACGTAA